GAGCAGCTACTAAGATAGGTTTCAATCATAGACTGGTTTGGGTGTGAAGGGACCTTAAAGCTCAGCCAGTCCCAACCCCCTGCACGGGCAGGGACACCTCCCACCAGCCCAGGTTGCTCCAAGCCCCATCCAACCTGCCCTTCAACACTGCCAGGGATGGGGCAGCCACAGCTTCCCTGGGCAGCCTGGGCCAGGCTCTCACCACCCTCACAGCACAGAATTTCTTCGTCATGTCTAAACTAAATCTCCACTCTCAGTTTAAAGCCAACCCCCTTCATCCTCTCCCTCCCTGCCCTTGTCCCAAGTCCCTCCCCAGCTTTCCTGGAGCCCCTTCAGGAACTGGAAGGTGCTCTAAGGTCTCCCTGCAGCCTTCTCTTCTCCAGGCTGAACACCCCAACTCTCCCAGCCTGGCTGGCTGAGAGATGTCCATAACTACCCACCCAACAGCATCACTCAGGCATTTTAACAGCTCCAATGAGGAATGTGGGGTCAGGCTTTGGTTTTGCTTCCCACCTCCTTGCCTGCTGGCCCAGCCTCGCACCAGGAAGCCTGTCACACTGAGGACCTGCTCCTTACAAACCATCTGCAAAGGCTCTGAGCTGCACATCCCCCCTGCACTGAGGGGTTGCCATCCCACCGAGGTTGGGTGCCAGGTCTGTTTCTGCCCCAGGATCCAGCCTCTCTGTGTTCAGCAAACCCTGCTCTCCTGGGCATCCCTCAGGATTTTCTGCAGGGCAGGTTTTAGCAACCAGCCCCAGTTCCCAGCAGCGATTGCACAACCTGGTTGTGCAATAAAAGGACTCCCAGCAAGAAAAAGAATTTAAAAATGGTGAAAGTTCCATGCCTTTTGGAAGGGAACCGAGTGGTGGCCACTTGCCAAGTTTGTCTTCCAGGGATCAAATGGTGCTGAAGAGAAACATCTGAGCCAGCCACAGCCCACAGCTGAAAATACTTCTGACTCAGCCCTTGCTGGCTTCAGCAACCAACTGAAGAGCTGGTGGGGGGATCATCTGACCAGCACCAAGATCAAACTGGGCTCCTGCCCAGGCTCTAGCTGGAGAAGAGCAAACCTCTGCTCCTTCCTCTTGCTCAGAGGCTTCAAAACTGGCAAGAAGTTTCATGAGAGCAACAATCCTGGCAGTTCTCATCATAAGGAAATGGTAAAACTGGCAGCAGTATAAGAAAAAGGGACTGGCAAGGTCAGAGGCTTTAGGCAGACCCACCAACTGCCTTTTTTAATGTTCCAAGGGATCTATAGAAAAGCCAAGGCTTTTCCACCTTCCATCCATGCAGAGCAAAATAAAAGGACTGAGGAGGTAGCACAGGAGGGTAGTGATCAACATTAACTGAAAAGGGATCTTTATCTCCTTTCCATAGGAGCCTAATGATGGATTTAGAATACCTGTAACAGCACATCCCTAACCCAGTTGGACTTGTGGCCACACCACACTCGGGTCTAACACAGGGAGTGACATGAAACCAAGTACACATTAAATGGGTCAAAAATTCATTACAAACTTTGATGGATCTTAAAAGTGAAACTAGAGTCACCAGGAAGGCACATTTCCAGTGAAACTTGAAGGAAGTTCTTTGTCCTAACCTACTTCTTCTGTTCTAACCTACTTCCCAATTTACAAAGACCCAGAGAACAGCAGATCAGAGGATTGCAGAGGAACAGCAGGCTCTACAAAACCCAGGTCTCCACATAATGCAGAACATGTTCTGCACTTAACTGTTCTACCACATGTGACCAAAATCCAGCTGTGCTGTAGCCAGATGCCAATCAGACCACTGAGCATTTGGTGTGGAGAACTGGAGATGTGGGGCCTGAAGGGTTACAGGGAAGCTTAGTTGTGTGGCCCAACTGCTCCTCCAGCATTTGTGGTTCCAACAAAGATGCCTAAAACCTAAAAGGGCACTGAGAGGAACCACACAGTTGGTTAAACATGGATTGGGAAATAGCCTTTACAGCAAGAGATTCAAAGTCATTGAAGGAGTCAAAAGTGTTTGATCCTTGATGATTTAATCCTAGACTAGTGACCTCCAAGGTGTACTTAAATTCAGTCATCAAGATCCCATCAATCCAACACATTAACTAGATGGAAAGGCCAAAGGCTGAAACATGACAAGGTCAGACTACAAAGACAAGATAGCTTTTAGGCATATAGATAGAATCATCAAATCATAGAATGGTTTAGGTTGGAAAGGACCTAGAAGACCATCTAGATCCAACCTCCCTGCATAGGAAGGGACACCTTCCACTAGACCAGGTTCCTCAAAGCCCCATCCAACATGGTCTTGAAAATCTCCAGGAGGGGACATCCACGACCTCCCTGGGCAACCTGTACCAGTATCTCACCATACTTAACCCCTGGCCAAACACACTCCACTGCAGCAGCCTCAGCAGAGGAGTTTCTCCACCCCAGCTGCATGTGGGCAGAGGCCACCTCCAGCTCTAAGAGCAGCTGTTGCAGGGCTGGTGACTCAAGGAAATAAAAAAATAGATTGAAAAGGATGATCAGCTCAGCACAGGAGGATCACAGCATTATCAAGATAAGCAGCTGCTGGGACTTCTGCCTGATGGGACAGGTAGAGAAATCAGGTGCTCCAGCAGACACACTTAGAAGCTCTACTTAGAAGTTTTCTTCCTGCCTTGGCTTTTCCCAAGTGAGGTGACCACCCAGGCTGCACTCAGCATCACATCCTCTGTGTCCAAACAGGACACCCAGCAGAGCTGATGTATTGGGACAACTCTTCCAAGAGAAGCCATAACAACCAAGACAACCAAACAGTGACAGAAAACAGGCACAGCCCTTGGTTGGGAAAGTGTCTTGCTGAACTCACAGTGGGCAGCAAAGAACAGCTCCTCAGATGAACCTGACACATGACACCTCATTAAAAATCAGGATTCAGTGCTTTAGAGGCAAAGAAACCCAACTTGGCTTTGACTTAGCTAAGAAACCCACATGACATACCTCAATATAACACTCAAGAGCCCAAAGGGTTGTTGCAAGGCTGAGATTGAGTTCTATTCCAATCCCACCAGGATCCCCAGCTCAGTACAACTATGTCCAAAACACACAAGTACTCATGAACTAAGACAAAGGCCATTTCCACTACAACTCAATTACTTCTTTTTTTAATCCAAAGAAAAAGAAAAGGCATTTTAATAAATACTGCAGAAACATTAACCAAACATACAAAGTGACTTCAACAATTAAAAAAAAGTAATGAATGTTCTGGTTTATAACAGTTATAACTTATTTTTTCACAATATTTAAATACAGAAAGCACTTACCAGCTATTTTGTAATACTGCCCTAAGCACACTGTCAGAAGCTTCTCATGGTGGTAAAAATGTCTCTTTGTAGGAAATAATCAGAATGGGTGGGTTTTGGTTTTGTTTTTTTCTTTTACCAGATGAAACAAAGTGCTGGGAACACACAGAGCTGTTTTTAATTACAGGAACCCTTTATCTTTACCCAAGTGAACGTGAACACAGCTTTGACACTTCCAAAATGAAGCGTTACCCTTGGGAACACAAGGCTTGTCCTCACCAAGAAGCAGCCACATTGGTCAGAGCTTCCAGCCTCCTCCCTCCTGAGAGAAGCTATGAAGTTCAGTCGGTCAAGTAAGTGGTTGCAAACCATTTCAAAAGGCTGATTTATTTAATGTAATAATAGTATTCAGTAAGCAAAAAGGAATTTCACTTAACTGGTTCACCGAGGTTTCCTGATTGTTGTCTGGATATGTATTGTATTAATCTTAAAGACTAAAGGGCAGTATCCAGTTTCCACTGGGGAGCCCTTAAGGCCTCACAGTTCTTCAGACCCCATTTCCTCTCCATGAGCAAAGGCAGTCTGCAGTGAGAGAGGGTTTGCCCCAGAAAGAGGAACATCACAAAAGGAAAACCTGGCTTCTTCTGGCTCATTTGCAGATTTCTTGGGGTTGGCTTTTTTTTTTTCAAAGATAAAGTGAACCACATCACAGAACAGCACTTCTCTGTAGCATGGACAGAGGACTGGATCCTGGGCTCTACCCAGCTGCCAGCAGAAGCAGAGGAGGCTCAGGGCTTGCCCAGATGGGCAGTAAGGCTTCAGGAATTATCATGGTTGTAAAACTAAGGATCATTTGTCATCATAGCTCCTAGCACCTTTCACTTGAACCTACAGCCACATACCCATACAGTACACCAGAACTGGAGACCATCTCCACTCTAAATTACAATCACACAGAGGAACACAAAGTCAGAGTCCTGCAAGGGGCAGGTACTTTGCCCCTACAGCCCAATTTGATCCCTTTCATTTCCACAGTGTGAGGGCACCTACAATACTGGGAAACCTCCAAGGCTTGTCTTCACAACCAACATGCTCCAAGGGGGATTCTCTGCCCTCTTGGGAAGGCAGAACTCCAGACTTCTCAAGTGCAGCTTTTTCCTCCTGGTGATGCACAGGCCTCAGTATAATCTCCATTTTAACGATGAGCTACTAAAAAAATTAGATCATATCCTTTCCTTTGGAAAACCAACTATAAGGTCACAGGGACAGTTCCTGAATGAGGATGGCACATTAATAATGTCTTCTTTAAAAAAAGCCAAAGCAAAACCATGAAAGTATTATTTTAATGAAATCAAAGTGGTAGCATCCAGGAGTAGAGCGTTAATAAAAGAAACAAGCACTGTCAATGACATCTCTCTCCTTTGCAGTGTTACCTTCCCATTCACCCTCTTCTCTCAGCACATTGAAACATTTTCCCTTTTTCTTTGTTTGCTTGGGTTTTTTTGGCATTTTCTTCAATGTGTCAAGATCTCCTGATGCCACCTCACTCAGAGCCATTTCTTCCTGCTGCTCAGTTCCTAAGTACAGTCTCACACAAGAGGTGAAGTCTCCATTAAAGCACTGGCACAAGCCCTCATATTAAATACCACGTGGCTTGGTACTTCATTGAGCTCCCACCCCTGCTGGACATGCTCTTCCTCCTTCTCCAAGCAACCAAGGTCCTTCACATGACAGTGCAACTCTTTGCTTTGTCCTTTCTCAAGTCCGTGGCCACTGTGGAAAGTTCTGGCCTGCCAGGCATGTGTGAAATCCTCTTTGTTGCCCTCTGCGATTTGTTTCGTTTCACATTCTTGTTTGTTTTATTCACACACGCCAAGGTGGCAACATGGAAAATGTCTCTGACACTGTTTTCTGACTGTAAGGCTGAGCATTCAATATACGTAGCTGCTCCAATCTGCTTGGCCATATTTGCACCCTAAGGGGAAAAAGAACATGTGATCAATCCCAAGTTTCCCCAGAGAGCCAAAGCAAGCTGCACAATTCCTTTCCAGCACTGTTCTCTATACACAAGGGTTTGTGGAAAGCAAAGCTGAAGCTCCAGCACCACAGCCAGCAGCTAATTCTGCTAAATAAACAGAGCTTTGGTTCCAAGATGAGTTAAACAAGTACCCAAACGTTATCTCCTCTGCTGATAAATGCAAACTGGAAGAGAGGAGATCAGCTCAGTGACCTACAAACCACTGCAGGAAGCCAGAAGAGCATTAGTAGCACCAATTTAGCAATTTCATCCTTACACCTCAACTTGCATCTGTGAAACACGTGCTCACTGGGAAAGGTCTGGACCTGGCAGCTTCCAGATTTAAGCCTGCTCTGTCCAAAGGGAAAATGTATTCCAAATGCCTTAAGGGCTAGCCAGCTTGTCCCTGACCTGGAGGGAAGCCTGGATGACATCTCCATGAAAGGGGCAAAGTTCATAGGGAAATGTACTGTGGGTTCCTGGGTCAGGGATAGTTCTATCCAGTTCTTAATTAGGGAACAGGAAAAAAAATGAGGGAAAAAAGGACATTAGTGGTTATACAAGCACTTCTTGAAGTGCATTAGAAGTCAAAGCAGGGATATTTGTTCCAGCAGCACAAGGAAAACAACACATGGCTGTGGCACCTGACAATGCCTCAGTCTCCTGTGGTGGATTTGGCTACTGGAAGACAATACAGCATTGTGTGAAAAATGGAGTCCCTTCTATGGAATTTTACTTCTGAGGGATTAATCTTTTTAGTAACTTACACCACATCCTTGATGTGGCACTCCCTCACATAGTCATGGGCCTGAGATGCAGGCACAAGCCATTCCAACCCCACCTCTCTGCTCTGCTGCCAGGCTGATGGCACCCATGGAGCCAGACCCAGCTCTTCAGAAGGCACTATTTGCACTGCAGTGGTGCAGCCACGCTGGTATCAGTTCTAAGAGGGAGTGGCTGATAAGAGGAGCAGTAGATTGTAGGACAGCCCTCCCCATGGTTAAACATCTCAACTGCTACTACCCAGGCCTAGCCTGTACCTTACAGCCTCAGAAATGTTTGCTCAGGAGTGGCTGGCTGGGAACTGGCTGGCATACTGGGGGCAGGGGTCACCACCACAGGATGGTTTGGGCTGAAGGGACCTTTCAAGGCCATCTAGTCTACCCCTCATGCAGCCAAAGCAGGGATATCTTTAATCACACTAGATTGCTCAGAGCAATTCCAACCTGACCTTGAATGTGTCCAGAAATGGAGCCAGCAGGATTTAAGGACACTTCTGAAATTTTTATGCTAAGGTAAGAAAAATCTGGCATTTAGTTTCATATAAAATGGTCTGAGATGGAGGGATGTTTACTGAGTGTAGAAAAGTGCTGTAAGAAGCACAAGCCATCACAGTACAACACCCCATGTTCTATTTTAATCAAGACACTCAGTTTATGGCATCTTCACACTTTCAAATTTAAACATGCTGTAGGAGGCTGCATTATTAGTAATCACACATGAGCTGTTGGATTGGAAAACCTGAGGTGTGTGTGGGTAACACATCAAAACTGCTTGGTAGCCCAGGATCCACACAGGAGCTAAAGCTACTTCTGGAGGCACCTTTCTCACTCTTCCACCCTGCAGGGTGTATCTCAAACCACCACCATGATTCAGCTGCAACACACCACACATGTGAGTAACAAGGGGAAGCTTACTTTAGAGCCCAGCTCTCCCATTCCCTACCTCTTGCTCTCCCATAGCCTGTTTCCTTTCCCTTTCACCTTGGTTTCTCTGTCTCCTGATGCCTGGGCTCCAAACTCCTCACTAAAACACTTTCTGGATTTGCTGCTGCTGCCTTCAGAGGGAGCTACAAGGTGTTTTTTCACAGGAGATGCTTTTCAGAAATATGATTTTCAAGGGGTCAGACTACATGCACTGCTTGTCATGATGCTGAAGTCAAATGTATCAGATTAAAATCTTAAGTTTGACAAGAAATTTTCTTCCTTTATCAGTAAACAAACAGGATGTCACATCTCAGTTCCTGTCTTGGCCTCTGCAGGCCCAGAAATGCAGCAAGTTTCTTTCCAATTCACTTTAAAGGCTCTTTGCAATCAATGAGGCTGCAATCTTAGGATACTTAAGGCAGGTGTTGTGGGGCTGCATGATTTTCTGCTGCTTCCAGTCTGTGGGTAGGCTTTGCCTTGACTCATAACACCTTTCAAATCCACCTCCAGCAGCTACTACAGCTTGTGCGTCTGACTACTAGGATGTACTTGCTCAACACAGGAAGAAGTTGATCATCAAGATGGTTACAGTGATAGAAAAGAGTCTTATCTTCCTTCTCTAAGCCCAGGGAAGGATATGGCACATACCTGATCATAGGACACGGGTGTCTGCCTGTGACTGGAAAGCTCCACCAGTGTGCTGACATCTGTGCGCAGGTCTGACTTGCAACCAACCAACAGCATTTTGGTGTTGGGACAGAACTCCTGGATTTCCCCTTTCCACTGTAAAATTTAAGGTGGCTGTTACATTTCAGGTAGACTAACGTTTAAATCCAAAGCAGCAAGAGACAGTAGGTGAAGTTTAATAGGTCCTGATATTCCATGTGGAAATATTCTTACATAACAGCTGCACCCACCTTCAAGCTCATTTCTGAAGGTCTTTAGTTCAGGCAGAATCTGGTCAAGGATGAAATCCAGCAACCTCATACACTCATTAATTCCCCTGACTTACTAATGCAGAGGGAATGAATTGAGATTGCTTATCTACTAGAGTAAAGGTTTGCAGGCCTGTCACTTCTCACAAGTGGTAAACAGCCAGCCACAGCCTGTGGGAGACAGGAACCTGTGAAACCTGGTGTCCCCACATTCAAAGGTTCCTCAGGATGGAGCTGCAAAGGCAGGTCCTGTATGACCCTAAAATAAGCATTGCTAAACACTGGCTCATGGCTACATCCTCATACCTCTAGCTACACAAATCAGCTATTGTGAACCAGTAATAAGCCCTTCAAGCAGAATTTGTGTGATATATTCCTGGGGCTTCTTCCCCCTCTACATGGCTATTTTCAAGACACAAGAAAGGCAAGAATTTCACTGCATAATCTGAACAGAGCACACAATGCCTAAAAATCAAAGGATATAATTTGAGTTTAAAAGCATACTATGAAAAATCTTACAGAATTAAGCAACAGCATAGTCACCAACATTATCAGGGACAGTTAAAAAAGTTCTAGATGCTTGTTGGCACAGTCAGTAGCTGAGAAGATTGTAAGCATTTTCTGTAGGCTCCTCAGAGCATTGTATGCCACTTTATTCCTGGTGACACAAGAACCACTGGCCCCAGCTACAGGGCAAAAAATAAAAAAGGAACTTCAGGTCATTAAGCATTAAAAACAGCTCTGCAAAGTTGAGCCATGCCCAGTGACCAAGGAGAGGAGCAAGACCACCCTGCAAACAGAGCCTGATTTTAAACATCCCATGTTTTAACTTGGGAACAGTCTGGCACTGAATCTCAGATCACTGAGCTTGTGTAAAAGTGTGGACTTTGGTGCAGGATCACATTTCAGTGCCCCTGCTATGCCTTCTGGTGGCTTCCAGAGGCATTTGTCACTGGCTCCTTCCAACTTCAGGCTGAGAGATTACGTAAAGCCATGGCAAAAGTCCAAACACTTGGCAGGCACGTTTTAACTGTCTTTGCAACATGGCAATGTTTCTCAGCCCTGTCTGTTACATGCATATAATGCAAGAGACAAATCCCTGCTGCACCCAGCCCTGCACCTCACACCACCCTGAACTATTCACTGCTGTCTCAGGGCTGAGGAATGTGAATTTACTTCACCTCTGAGTGGGCATGAAGGAGTTTGTTTTCAATTAACATTCACTCCTTTCAAACAAATGATCTCAAGCTCTAGCAGTGCGAGTGCGGTCCTGTCATCTCTCCATTAAAAGAAACAAACTGAAGTTTCCAATGTATGGAACAGTCCCCACCCTGCAGAGGTTTAAAGACAAGCTACTCAAACAGTTCTGTACTCATATGTTCCTTGGACACTTGCCTTTTTTAGCACACTGTCAAGAGTTTCTGGCCGACTGATGTCAAAGCAAATCAGGACAGCATCAGAATCTGGGTAGGAGAGCGGGCGGACATTGTCGTAATAAGGAGACCCTGCAGGGGAACAGACATTTTTATTAGTTTATATATTTCACTTTCTGCAGTCATTTCACAGTATTCAGAACATGTAGAGAGGTTTTCAGTGAAGCTCTTCACTAGAACCCAGCTACCATCTTTTTCTTCAACAGCACTGTATTCCCAAACCACTCCTTGCAGTTGCTCGTTTTGCCACTTGCCTTTTGTTTCTCACCTACAAAAGCAGCAGCTTCCCCAAGTAATGAAGACTGATGGCACCCCAGTGAGCCATCTCCCACCAAAAGCTTGTGATGCCCCAAATAACAAGGAAAGGGAAACCGGGTCAGCCCAAGTTTAAGTCCCAGCATTAACCTGCTGGGATTTGACTCTGAGAACAAATCCTTAACCTCCAAAAGGCTTCCTCAAAGTGCATTTGTCACAGTTGTGCTTTCAAGGAAGAAAACCAAACCTGAAGGTTTTGAAATAAATCAGTTTTGGTTCTTCCAACATTTCATTTAGGACAAATAGTTCCAAGCGCAAAAAGCATCTTTAGTTGATTTTTAGAAGAAACCCTTGCTTCAAATGAAAGCATTTGTTGCAGTACTCCAGCAGGAAAGAATCCCAGTCCTGTAGGCAGGCACCCAAGTTATCTGTCACAAAAAGCTTCAGTCTGTAAACCACTATATGCTTACAATAAATGTTTATGTTTAACCCATAAAATCTTTATCAGCTAGATCAAAACTAATCTAGTAGTCTGATGGAGCATGAATAGGTTCAATATTGCACTTTGTGCATGTATTACTTCCAGAGCTGTTAAGGGATGTGCTGTTTTCCTTAGGAATTGTCATCATGTGCAGAGCTACAAATACATCTCCAGAGTCAGAAGTCTGATTTTTATCATCTGGCAAACCTGGGAGCAGGTTGGGGGAAAAAAAAAACAAATCTCTTGTTTCTAAGAAGTTTCAGTGACTGAGCCACCATTCAGTCAGGCCTTAACTCTGCTGCAGCTTCACTTACTGAGCAGAATGCACCTCTGATTTAGAAGGGTACTTAAATAGTTAAGTGGTCCAAGAGGCTAAGGGCTCCGTCTTTAAAATGCATGCCTGTAACTTAAGATGTATTTTCTTAGTCATACAGTCTTATTTCTGTGTTTTTCCCCTCATGAGCCTAAAATACAGCATGGAGCATAGACAACAAAAATACAGCTTTCAGGAGTTCTGGGGTTATCAGCTAATTGTATCACCAATTTTCCAACTATCTAGAACTAATTGGCTGTAAGGTCTCAGAGGCTGAGCAGGCTATTAACTGGATTAGAGAAATTCCTCAGGTTTTTAACTGACAGACAGCTCATGGTGTTGCACAAAGCAGAGCAGGGAACGGTGTGAACGTATCACAGATGACTTCAGTTGGGCAGCTTATACTGAAAGGAAGGAGTCAAGAATCCCAGGAATGCTGTTTTTGAAATGAAGAGTAACACATGGGGAATGAAGCATTACCAAACTAGGTAGCAGAAGGTAATTTGTTGAACGAGACGATTTTATTCAAATGCTCATCTTCATAAATGATGTCAATCTAACAAAGAGGCAGCTGTCAAAAACTGCTCTTCAAGAGAACACTTAGCTGTCTTCAGCGCTAAGTGACATGTTCAAAAGAAAAGGAAGTGAGCTGACCCATAGTTAACTATTCATCTGAGCTCAGCTCAGCTTGCACTGACTATCAATAAGCATTTTCTACTACTAATTATTTCCCAGCAATCTCCTGCACTGCTATTTTACACAGTGCCTGCAGCCCCAGGGCCAAGTTATTTATGCTGGAGCCCCAGGGCCGGTTTCTTTGCCTTGGACAGAGGAATTGTGCCCTTAGCCAGCCACCTGCAGCCCTGAAGAAGCCAAAGCACAGCCTGCAGCCCAGCACCAGCCTCCACACTGGTGAGAGCCACTGCCTGGCTAGCACAGCTCCCTGCCGAGCTCAGGCAAGTAAAGGCAAGATTGAAGATCATTCATGCTTGGCCAAATGGTTGCTGGCTAGAAAGCAGTCTCAAAAAAAGCCTCACCCAGAAACTAATTCCTTAGACACATACCTATCCTCTCACTCAGCAGTCTTCAGGGATACAACACACCATATATGTCCATCAGCATGTATTTATGTATACATCCAGTCACCACCTCCAGCCCTGAGACTCCTTTCTACTGTGTCAGCTGCAGCCCTGTTTGTTTTGAGGGTTTTTCTTTTTAGTTTTTCCTCCTGAGCCTCTCCTGTGAAAGATGCTGAGCTAGAAGAAGTGCACTTTTATAGGCAGCTCTTTCCGCTCGGGTGCAACCTAGGAGGAATTAATATCTGCCACCTCCTTTTCTTCAGGTTAGTGTGTGGCAGAACAAGCAGGAACCATTTAAACTACTCAGGCTGCAGGATCAACAAAGGAAATTTCCTGGGCTCATTCAGCAGCAATAACTGAACTTTTATTACTGTGCAAATACAGAGGGGCTGCGGCCCTCGCTGTGCAAGCCTATTCAATCTGGCATTTCATCCTTTTGCCCAGAGAAACCCTCAGAAGCCAGGAATGTCAGGAATGAGGCACAAGTCTGAACAGACAACTTGAGCACAGCCCAGTAAGGCTGCACACTCTGTTTCAAGCTAGTCTGCAGATCTGAAGCTCTGCCAACCCTAGAAAACTGGAAGGCTACAGCTAGGGTATTTGTGGGAGATACAAAAAAAATAGCCTATTTGTGTTTGTGATTCTGTTGCTGCAAAATAAAACATTTTTGTCAAGGATGACACTGATCCTTTCCCTGTTTTATCAAGGAATTGCTGATAATTCTGTGATTCATCTTACTTTGTGGTGGAAGTACATTCCAGCTGCAATCCCCCCTTTCTTGATCTATTTGGCAGTTTAAATAATTTAAGCCAAGCTAATTTAAACACCAAGAATGATCTACTTTTAAAACCTTATGTTCCTGCAAGTTACAGCATAAATTCACCTTTTAAGTGGAAATAAAACCCTTCCCCAGCACTATGGTTGGCTTTGGTCTACAGAAGATGCCAATCTTGGGCTTAAATTTTGCTATCTTAGTAAGTAACAGGATTTACATTGTTAAAAGTTAAAGCATACTTGATTTTTTGATGATTCAGTGCTACTCTTAAGATGGCAGATGGCAGAGAGCTGATGCTCTATTTGTCTGCAGGACCCAAAGCTACCACTTCCAAGAAGCTCCAACCAGGAGGTTCCACCTACAGAGCTGGACCTGGGAAGCTCCTGCTCCTGAGGCTGCTCAGCCTCCTCTCACCCACAGGCCCTGAGGGAATTGGTGCTCAGCAACAGGCAAGGCTTTACTGTTTACACACCACCAAGCAGCCATCAGGCATTCGTCTTTATAGCCTTTTGGACTCCAGTCAAGTGAAAGAACAGCTGAACAGCAGCATTCTCACTCCCAAACCCTTGGGCTCGCTAATTATCAGCTAGGTATAAAACACATCAAAAACTGCAGTGGCCACTCGAAGTAGCTGACTCACTGCTGTTGGTTTTCCTCCTTCCCAACCCACCTGGGCTGTTTTGGAGAAATTCAGCATACAAAATGACCTGCATTATCATAGAACACATCATCTCCAAGCACATGAATATCACAGTATTCACAGCAGCTCAGAGAACAGGACTTTGGAAGGTGACTTGGCATTGCCAGTTATCAATTCTAATTATTTCACCTCTAAAGGGAAAAAAAAACCCTACCAAGACTACTTACTCTGCCATGAGGGGAAAAAAAAAAAATATCACATGGCTCAACACAGCCAACTTGCAAGTGATCTGGAAGGCAGAGAGAAATTTGACATTTCCTTTACAATGCTTACTGCCAGCAAGCTGAGGAAACCAGCAACTTTAAGTCACATAAGTTTCAGATGTATTCTGACAGATTTCAGCAAAAAGCTTTATAATTAATATTAGGTTTCTATACAGACACTGAATACATTGTGCACCTTCAAATGGCAGTAAAGCTAACCTGATTTAAAGCTCTAAGGCCCTTCTGGATTTAATTATATGATAATCCTCAGCAGTGTGTAAGTATTTCTGGGCCTGTTGAGAATTATTTTATTGGAGTATCCAGCACAGTTTCCATAGTTCAGCCAATAAAAAGAGAAACAAAAATATGTTTTAGGGAGCCACAGGTATGTAAACCTAATTAACAGTACGTGATGCCTGGGCCTCAGCTGCTGCTGCAGCAAGAAACTTAAGTATCAAAGCAGTCAATTTAATAGAAGAAATCAAGACCTTGGTGAATGCACATTAAGACCGTGCCCATGGTAGGCAAAGACACCTAACACACAAGTATTCTTTTCAGAGTCCATGAGATTACAAGATGAAGCTTCAGCCTGGAGAAACTTCTAACACCCTACGTAGCAAAACAAGCACACAGCTCCCAACCAGCTCCAGACTGCCTTGCTGTTACCACAGAGAGCAGTAATTGATGGTGTAGTTAAGATTGCAACCAGACATTCCTGCTTTGAAAGAAGGTGTGGTAGTCCAAAACCCAATTGAAATTCAAGTTGGCAAGTACTTTCCTTAATGCTGTGGCTAATTAAATCTTTATACTGACTTGCAGAACTAGACAGTACCAGAAAATATTTGAATAATGGAAAGAAGGGGTGGTAGTCCAAAACCCAATTGAAATTCAAGTTGGCAAGTACTTTCCTTAATGCTGTGGCTAATTAAATCTTTATACTGACTTGCAGAACTAGACAGTACCAGAAAATATTTGAATAATGAATCTTCCCATTCCACTCTTACAAGTAAGAGTGTTTTGTCCCATATTTCTATGGGCATATCCAAGATACAACAAACCCTCTCCCCCCCCAATAACTCCACAGCTAGCTTTAAAATGTTCTAGCAATTGTGTGACACTCTACATCTCGTACTAAGAGTCCTCTAGGGAAAAGCACATTACTACTATTATATAAAGGATCATAAAGCAAAACAGAATAGCAAGGCCTGTTTTCACCCCAATACAAGACTATTTTAACCAGTGCCTACAGCTTCTCATCTTCTCGGCAAGTGAAAAAATGCTGGAAGTGGCAGGACTTCCCTCCCAAAGGATCCAATGCAAACCCCAACATTTCCTTTAACTCAAGCTAGAAACTCACTTGCAAGGCAGCCTGCTGCACACTCCCAGGTAGTTAGAAAAAGAAAGAGTTTAAGATAAATACTAAATACTGATCAGATCATCTGGAAAGTATCTGCATCATGCTGCAATTAAGTGCAGCTAAACAGCATCCTTCCCTCTACCCCAAGAGATACTAAAGTACCTGAAATGACTCAAGCCATTACCACCCCCATGTTGCAATGGACATTTCTTTTCAATTACTATTTGGCAGTTAATCAGTCATATTTTTAAGTTAACTAGATCTAGTCCTACTTTAAAAAAAATGTCACTGACCTTCAGTCTAATTCAGCAGAGGACTGAGACAAAGACTTGTAAAAAATAAATTACCAAGAATTTAAGATAATGCCAAAACACTATCTTATCTTCTGATGGCCCTTATCTGGTGATGTGATTTTGCATTGGGTCAATGGGTTTGGGCAGTGCTTCCTGCTGCAGGGGGTGAGAAGGGTTGTTCTAGGGGAAACAACTCTTCATCTGCAGCCCCACAACCAGAGGATCCACTGCTCGGTGTAATACTTTATAAGACCAAGTACTGGCTCTCTCAAACATTCCCTCTTCAGCTTCAGATAGCAGACAAATTATGCACTTGATCTCAAGCTTCTGACTTGGTCCAAGTTTCTCTTACTTCCAGGACAGGCCTGAGAGGATGGCATGCACACACAAAGGCTGGCAGGTGTTTCTTCCACTGCTTTTGTCTTTTGAAGTGCTACAGAATATTCCATTACATGGGTTGCTCCAGCCTTTGAGATTCCAAACCTCCCCATGTCAAACAGCTTAACCTGCAAGTGTGTTGTAATTTAACAGCTAAAGATAAAATTTTCCAAAATACCTTCACTAACTATTAATTTTTAATAAGCCCTTACTCCAGGGAGTTTGTTACAGCCAGCTTAGTAATCAGAATGAAAGCTCAAACCAGACACTCTCTAGAAGTCTGCAAATCTTACTTGGCAGAAGATGAAGAAAAAAAATCAGTTCAAGAGCTGTGCTGATACTGGTTGTGGGCACAGAGACTGCCTTTTCCCAGTAATCGGTGTTGCAAGAATTTGGAATCATTTCCTCAACAGAAGAGACCCAACCCTCCTTTTCTTTTAAAACGGGATTAACATTTTTGTTTCTGGTAAAGGGACTACTTTGCTATGTAGGAGGAACTGCTAGGTCCAAATTCAACACGAACAAGCTGTTTACACAACCTGCCTAAAAGGAAGAGGCTTGCATGCTCTGTCAAGTTCCCCCAACTTTTTTTTCCAGTCGCTTCTGTGGAGCTAATGTTGACCCAGGCCTGCGTTAATGGTTCACGGTGTCACTCACCCCTGACCACTGCCCCCCAGGTGCTCAGTTATTAAGCAGCAGAGACTGCCCACACTTCTCCCCAGCACTGAGCTGACAAGTTCAGGGGCACCTCCTCACCCCCCCCGCCCCAGCACTAAGATAACTCCAAATCTCAACAACAGCAGGATGTGGAGGAGCCCCTGGCCAAACATAAGCCCTAAGACAGCCAAAGCACCAAGAACCTCAGCCTCTGAGCCAGGGATTTTGACACGGCCGCTGAAGAAAAGCGGCCACCGAAGGAAGAAGGAGGAGGACCCCGAGCAGTGCTCAGGGCATGCAAGGCAGGATGGCCAGCTCTGCACCCTCAGAGCCAGAGCTGCCAGCTCCCCAGCCCTCCCTGCCTCTCACGGCTTCCCAAAAAGCAGGGGGGGAAAGCACCGCATCTCACAAACAGGCACGAAGAAAGCCACAGGGAACTCAGCCCCGAGGAGCCGATACCCCTGACCGCACACAAACCCTTCACCCTCCTGCCGGGCACCCCAGGGCGAGACCCTTTTCCAGA